AGGTTGGCCTCGAACTCACAGAGATCCGCCTGGCTCTGCCTCCCGAGTGCTGGGATTAAAGGCGTGCGCCACCACCGCCCGGCGAAAGGAGGTTCTTAAGAAGGTGGATTATTCCTATTTTTTTACAGGAGCTTAGTCTGTATTTGTCTAGATGTTCTGAGGAGAAGTTAAAAGATGTGTAAGACACATTTAACAGTCTTGAAAAATTTAGAATTTATTTGGGAAACTAGAGACAACTTACTTTCATGGTACAGTCAGAGAGTGGGTATGTACAGATAGAGCGCTACCTGGACAAAGATGGCAGACACAAGTGAGTGCCATTGGAGAAACTCTTGCCAGCTGTAGATTTCAAGTTGTTGAGACTGAAAGAAACAACAGCTATATTTTTTCACAGGATTTCCATTATATTTTTACACCGGCAGGAGCATGCTAAATGAAATGCCACCAAACTTAGTCCTGATTTTAAGCATTAAGGCAGCAGAGCAGAAAACAATGTATAAAAAGAAACTTACAAAAACAATGAAGAAAAATAAGCTTACATATGAACATTTTATTAGTATGGCATTATCTCAAGTTCAAATATATTATAAGAATTTCACTCTCTTTTCAATAGTCAAAATAGGTATCTCCTATTTGATATAACAGACTAGATAAGATTCCAATAAAATTGTAGCCATAAAAGAGAATTTTTTACCTGGTTTCAGAAACTTCTTATGCATTATGGTGTGGTCATATAAAAGGTTTCTGAAGCAGGATAACTGTTGAGTCCAGAGTTCTGAAAGAAGCCTAGAAATAAGGCTGAGTATTAGACAGAACATGGGGCCCAATAATGACTAAAGCTTAATAATTGTTTATTAAGGTTATGTATTTATTGGATTCTCATTCTACACAAAGCACAGTATGTAGACTTGAAGATATGAAAACAGGGAAAGAACTGGTCCCTCTTTGCATTAAGCTTATAGAGTCAGAAATGAATAAAAAATAGCAATTAAATTACAGTATGACAAATGCCGAAGTAGAGGTGGAAGCCGAGTCTCATAGGAATCTAAACTTCACTCAGTCCCAGAGAACGGTGAGTTAGACTCTCCGAGAATTTTTATTGATTCAAAGTAAGTCTGAAGAAAAGCGTCAAGAGAGCAAAGTGGAGGGAGGGAGGAAGGGAGGCAGGAGTGTTTGTTTAGTCATCTAGGCAAACATACGATTGAGATCCAGAAAGACTACAGACATCTTGCGAATAACACTTTACAATGTTGGTTCGCCATCATTGTAAATAATGATGTTCCTGGCCTGTGCATTTAATCTGAAACTGTGTCAAGGAGCAGTGGTTGATTTCTTTTCCATCTTGATAGAGTTTCCATATGCTTCATCTGTTCCCAACTATACAAAAGAATAGACTGGGCAAGTGCAGCTGTTTCCCAGTTCTGTTTGCTTATCTGAGTCTTGATAACTTGGAACTATAAGTTTTCCTGAACTACTGTGGCTGTTTATAAATCACAGTGACCCTCAAACACATTTAAGGACAGTGAAGGGTCTAATTCGTGGGTGGAACATCCTGAAGATGCTGAGGTTCTGCTTGTTTGCCTTGTTATTTAAGAAGAGAGCTAGGAAGGAGTGTCTGCCAGATTATTCTCTCTTCCTAAGTGTTTTGGTTGAAGAGGCAAAGTGTTTGTCTTGAAAGCATACATATTTTCATCCCTTGCTTAGTGCAGACTTGATTACTTAAAGAACTGAGTCATGGCCTCAATTGAGTGTATGTTTTTTTAAAAAAGCAAAATATAGGATCCCATTTAAGTTAGAGATCTGAAGTTGGAAATTTTGTTAATTTATTAATCCTTGCAGGTTTAGAATTATTTCATTACACAGACACTGTGGACTGAGTGACCCAATCAGGTTATAGCTTCAGCTATCAAGTTTTACCTTGGGTTTTATTGCAAGGAGAAAGCATTCTATAAACTCACTACGCTTCTTTCATTGTAACTCCAGGAGACAACAGGGCACAGTGGAGACCAAACCTATCTTCATACCATTAAACTATGCAATCACTTCACACTCTAACGGTTGTGTGAAGTTGCACAGTATTGAATCAGACACACATAATGAAGGCCCGTGCGAGCTCACAAGGCAGCTGGGACAAGGGGGAAATGGTTTGAAGATGTCTGGTTAAGGTTTAATGTAGTGGGCACCTTGAATCCAAGGAGGACACCCTAGACAGAGATACCTGGGCTTTCAAAAGCTTCACTGTGAAACCATCCAGCACCCTGGATAGCTCCTGCAGCTGCTGTAGTCGGGAAACATTGACTTTTCTTAAGATCTTCAGGTTTGTCCAGAGTCCATGGACTCCCGCTAGCTTGGGTCAGCTGTCTCTGTGATTTTTTTCCCATCATGATCTTGTCTTCCCTTGCTCCACAGTCCCTTCTCTCTCTCTTCAACTGAACTCCAGGAGCTTGGCCAAGTGCTTGGTTGTGAGTCTCTGCATCCGCTTCCATCAGTTGCTGGATGTAGGTTCTATGCTGACATTTAGGGTAGTCACCG